ATTCCTGTGCACACAGGTGCATAGAAAATAGAATTCAAACTGGAGAGACAGCCCAGTAAGTCAATCGCTTGCTGTGCAAGGATGAGAACCCAAGTCTGAATTCTCAGATCCCATGGAAAGCTGGACCTTCCAACATAATTCTGCAAATTCAGGGCTCTGTAACAAGATTGGGAGGCAGGCAGGAAAATCCCTAGGAGCTTGTAGACCAGCTAGTGCTGTGTGCACAGTGTAGCAGCAACCAACAAGACCCTGCATCCAGCGAGGTAGAAGGTGGGGACCAGCAATAAGGCTGTGCTCTGACCACACTCACACAAACAAAAGTGTATATGCACACATGTACAAGTGCTCAGGGGGACTTAAAAAATAAAAATTCCTGGAAGAAAGTTAACCTTCTGAATTGCAAAACAAGAATAAAATGTCATGCTGTTTTTACTTCATCCTTATTGCTAGGTCATGGAGACAAACTCAGGTCCTCAAGTAGAGCAGCAAGTGTTTATATCCACAGAACCATCTCACTGGCCCCCAGAGCATGGCTAGAAAGGGGATAAAAGCACTAAAATATGTGTTCCTGAGCTCATGTCTTGTATGGAAGGTCTCTCAAGGACTGGGTGCTCATATCTATAGTTCACAGATAAAAGTGCAGAATACAAATATGAGTAACCGGTGTCTAGGTTAGGATTTTTGCAATATACAATTTATTATTCAGACAGGGATGAATCCTTAATAGCAAGGAAAAAGGAAGATGAAAAAGTGAGATATGACAATAATTTAAAAGTCAAAATATCACGTATAAGAACTTAATTCTGGTTTAACTTAAGAGTCTCTTTGAACACAGTGCAGAATGGAACTGAAAGCAGTCTCCCTTGGTAACATGTTCCCTCTACTGACAAGAGAGGAAACCAAAGCCTTGGGGACTCCAATGATTAAGGAAAATGACCCTCTGGTCAGTGATGCCTATGCCATCCATCATCCTCAGGAAATAACTGGACTGAACTCCCAGAGCTATTTAACCAACTCTGTGACTCGGTTTCCACTCCTCTAAAAGGGAGAGCTGTGGGCAAATCACACAGCAATGCTCCAGTGCTGGAGGCTCCCCACGTATGGCAAGATCACGGGCGCAGGTCTAATTATCCAGCCAAGGATGGATCAGAGGAGAGAGAAAGAGAGGGTGCTAAGGTAGCCAAGGTTGCCTATAGATTGTAAGGTGCTGCCTGGGAGGCGGGGAGCAGTCAGCTTCAGGAAGAAGATGGACAGAGGCTCCAAAATTTGAGGCTGGAGAAGTTTGACCATGTGCCCTAGGAATGGAGTCTGAGTGAGCACTCTCACAGAATCTGAACATGCATACCACACATGCAGCCAACACAGGTGCTGGGAGTGTCCCAGCTGTGCTCTGAGGCTCAGGGCTGGCTGGGATTGCCCACAAGCTCGTCAAGGAGTCCTAACCACCATGGACAGCTCACTGCTGCCCCAGCCAGCTTTGCGCAGCTCGCTAACTCCAAGGGATCTACCCGCAGGGTGGATTCCACGCCCAAAAAGTGTATTCCACACTGCACCCCTCGGCGGTCACCGCCAGACAAGAGGCATGCAAATGGATCGGGCTTCGGGACTGAATAGCCCTTTCCTTGCCTGCAACGTGGTCTTTTTCAGAAGCTGCTGGAGCTTAACCATCTGATGGGGCCTCTGGCACAGAGAACCTCCAACCACTCCTTCATTTCCTCTATTCTCCCTCGCAGCCCCTCACCCGCCTTGGCTGCAGTGTGTGTTAAATGACATAAAGCAGGCGGCCCTAGACCTCTGGCAATGCTGAGCTTTAAGGAACTGGGGTGGTAACTGGAAGGCGCCCCTGGGCTGGGACAAGGGGAGAAACACACACACACACACAACACACACACACACACACACAACGCACGCACGCACACACACACACACACACACACACACACACACACACACACTTTTCTCAGCCCTGGACTACCAGGAATTTATCCTCACCATCTCCCTGGGGTTTATCATGGAGCAAACAAAAGGGTTTGGAGAATAGCCTGAGCCCCTGTCCCTGGGTCACACTGTCCCCCAAGTCTACTCTGGAAAGAACAGAGGGTCATCAGTCTTGCATTAGGCTAGTGACTCTGGAAGGGCCAAAACACAACCAGGCACCCAGCACCCCACCCCCACCCCTTTGCAAGATGGAATGGAGAGAGAATGCCTGTTATTCTGCTCTCAGCAAAACTTTGGCCATGGGGAATCTAGAAGCTTAAGGGGGACAGCCAAGAAAGCCAAAGAGCCTTAGGTAAATGAAGGCAAGAGGACCCAGCCCCTCAGCTTCCACAGAGTCTTCCTTTTATTCCTGAAATCCAAGCTTGCTTCCTCCTTGGAAACAAGGGTGTGAGCACGACACCACTCTGCTGCTGCAATGACGCCCCCAGCCCCTCCACCCCCTGCCTATGATGTTTCTTTCCGGAGGATATTTGGTCTCTTCTTGCTGTATCTGTCCCACAAACCCAGAAGAAGCCAGAGAGGAGGCCGTGCTCTGCCTGTCATGGCCATAGTTCTGACAAACACTCTAGGAAAAGTAGGCAGGCCCCAGAGCCATACAACTAGCAGCTAAAAGCAAAACAGATTTGAGGCCTCACCTACAAGCCCATATCTGGACGTCTTCCTGCCTGAGATGGTAGGCACCTGACCCACTGGGCTGCCCAGCTTTACCAGGGGAACAGAGAATGGGGTTGGGGAGGTAAATGTTCTAAAGTCCCAGGATCACCTGGGCGTGAGGTCTTCTAAGCAACCCAGTGGGGTCACCAGGTTCACTCGGAACTGGGCCACAGGTACAAGTTTCAATGGCATGGCAAGAGGTGCTCTGATTGTGGGTTGTCCTTTGAACAAGGGTGTATCCGAAGCCTCTTTGTGGTCACATGCAAGTCCAGAGCTGTCTGCTCAGGGGAGCCAAGAACTTGACTCAGCAAAGGGCTTCCAGTGAGCAGCAGGCCAAATGCTAAGTTCTCTCTCCCTCTCCCTCTTGCCCTCCCCTCCCTCTCTCTCTCCCTTTCTCCCCCTCTCCTCCCTCTTTCCCTCTCCTCCTCCCCATTCCTCTCCTTTTCCCTCTCCCTTCCCTTCCCCTCCCACCCCCTCTCTCTCCCCTCCCCCCCTTCTCCCCTCTCCTTCCTTGGGTGTATCTTGCTAGCCATGGGTATGAAGGTACACAGTGTGGAACCTTGAGAGCCCATCTTCCATCTCGAACCATCTTGGACTCCACCCAGGAGTGTGTCTGGATGGATAGGTGTCTCCTGGGTGGGTTTCCAGGTCCTGATTGGAGAAAACAGAGCATTGTCCTTGTGGTGTCCACTTTTCTAACAAAAGAAGGATCACCACAGCCTGCTCAGCCCTTCCCCAGAGCGGCCTTCAAGGTATTAGCAGAGTGTCGTCTTCACCTAACTACAAGTCCTTCCTGAGAAAATGCTTCCTCCCCTATGGATGTGCAAACCTCATATTCCTTGTCCTTTCTGCAACCTTGAGGTCAGCTGACCTTTGACCTCCTCTTCCTCCTCCTGCCTCAGCAAGCTTGTCATCAGAGCTACGATCCCATGGAATCAAATGAGGACCCTATCAAAGTGGTAACTTCTCTTAGTCAATAGCAAAGTGGCCAAAGGAAAGGAAAAATGTGTGTATTTGTTTGGTTTTGTGCCTGGGAACTACTACTGGCAGACATATGTGAGATCTTGTTGCTAATCCTAAATCCAAGTGCATGACTCAAACAGGTATCTAATGTTTATTTCTTTCCTTTTGTTTAACCCAAAAAGGCAGACAGAGGAAGGAAAGACAGAGTACCTAGACAACTTCGAGTTTTCTGTTTGTTTCTTTCCAAAGAGGAAACATGCAGGTAATACCTATAAACTGGTGATCAGCATGAACTTATGAGATGTGGGACCCTTTTTTCAGAGCTGGGTTTGGAAAACTGCCAACTGGGGGGTGTAAACTGGTGATCAGCATGAACTTATGAGATGTGGGACCCTTTTTTCAGAGCTGGGTTTGGAAAGAGACTGCTCTGGAGCTAGGAAGGGGGGCCTAGAGACTGCTCTGGAGCTGGGTGCTCTGTAAGTGTGGACCAGCACGGACAGGCCTTGGGGTCCTCCTGTATGCCATGCTGCATTTGTGTGACAGGAAGCAAGCCCCTCACTTGGTCAGGCACAGGCACGCGACCTGTTCATAAGCCTGAAGGTTGGGCTCCCATGGTTCTTGGGCACTTCCTCACTGTCTGTGTTCTCAGCAGGATCAGGAGTTAGACCATGATGTCAGAAAATGCCCTATGTAGCCAAGGCAAAAGGATCAGGTGTTGGGTAGATGCTGAAGGGAATTTGCTCAAGAAATTCAACATCAATTCAAAAACTTCAGCAAGAAATGAGCTCGGGCCACCCGGAGGCTGGCCCTCTTTTCTAATAATTGAAAAGACCACTCACGGAAGTTTTTAATTCATTATAAACCTGATTTTGCAGAACAAACATTTCTAAAAGAGACTGACAGGCTCTCCCATCTTCAGTCAGAGCTTGTAACTCAAGGAAAAGGTGAAGCAATACAGCATGAGGAAGTGCTAGGATTCTGAGGAGATAAGGCTACTTTATTTGCCCTGTGTCTATATTTTCTCTGTAGTTTCTTTTTCATGTATGGCGTAGAGGATGACATTTTTTTTTCCCCTTTAATATCAGAAAAGTGAGTGGATGAAGGAACAGAGAAAGGAGGGGGAAGGAAGGGGGTCAATTTTGTCTAATTAGGAAAAAGCATCACAAAGCTAAGCAATGTACAGGTCTCAGCCTTTAGCTCACAGTGTGTGCCAGCATGCAGGATGTAAGCCACTTAGTATTTTGAATCTAGTTTTTATTTCAACCTTTTGTTGAGGGAGGATAGATTTCTTTTTAAGTCAGAGTAATTCGAGACTTGGCAAAGTACCTTTGGATTTTTTTTTTTCCCTTGGTGTGGAAGCAAATATTATCATTTTGACGTTAAACGAGTCTCAAGAACCTCAACAGAATGGCCCATTTGTGAGTCCCTTCTCTCCTCTCCCAGGTCCTCCCCCACTTCAGCTCTCACAACTAGGGCTCCAGCATCTTTGGGGGAGGGGCTATCACAAAGTGTTACAGGTTCAAAGGTTGTCTGTTCATGCAAACTGGTCTAACAGTCACAAATTCTCAACCACTTAAAGGAAGTTCTGGAAATTCCCCGTTTTCTTTTTAAGGTGGGAGGAAGCCAATTTTTTTTTTTTTTTACAAGTATGAAGTTTAAAGGAACCGAGGGAGAGAGAGACAAGGACTTCTGATGAGAGGCGACCCCACCCAAGACAGCTGGAAGCCTTAACTGCTGGACTGCAGCAGTGCCTGGGGGCAGGGATGGATGAGAAGTCCGTGCTTCGCCCACCTAGAGGTCTGCAGTGCATGGGGGGGGGGGCGGCAGCCCAGGCCTGACAACAGTCAGACTCCCAATCATCTTAAACGTCTGAATCACACTAGCCTCCTATAGGAACAGATGAAACCTACCAACAAGGCTGTCTAGAAGGCAAACTGCAGGATCTAGGACCTGGGGGAACCGGTATCCACACCCACACCGCTGGACCCTTTCCTGTGTGTTAAGACCCAGTAACTCAACTTTCTCCGCAGCCCAGCAGAATTGAGAAGCTGAAGCCACTGGGATAGAATTCATCTGGTCAATCTACGGCAGGGCAGAGAGAAGGTTCAGAGGAAGGACTTAGTGCGCGCTCCCTGTCCTCTGCGATCCCAAAGAGGGTCTTCATCCTTGTCCGTGAACTCTTTCTTGGACCCACTCCAGATGTGATGCTCCCCAACCCTTCCCAAACAGCAAGGCCCAGAAATCGCTTTTGCTCTCCTGGATGCCAGCCCACAGTCCCCTCCCCAGGAGAAGGCCAAGCCAGGCCAGGCAGGAATACTGGCTTTCAGGAGTGCCAGCTTGCAGGCGAGCTTGGGACTCCTGGAAGTCTCAGGCCACCGGGTCTCCCGCTTTGCTCGTCCTTGGCGACCTGGGCTCCCGGACCTGCAACTCAGGCGGCAGTAGGCCGGGTCACGAGGAAGAGAGCTTCAGATCGGCCCACGCGGGGCTGGGGCTGGGGCTGGGGTGGGGCTCAGTGGCTCCGGCTCCCCTGTGCTCCCCGCCCCCGCCGGCCAGCTCGCCCTTGCTCTGCCGGCGCGCGTTCCTCGGGCGCCACCTCTTTGCGACTAGCTCATTTCTCAGCAGGTTGGCCCCAGAGCGTGTGAACCTTTTTGGTTTGGGCTCGCAGCTCCTCTCCAACCTGCGCCGCCCCAGCTGGGCCGCTCCGCCCCACCGCCGGAACCCGCCCTCGCGGCCACCTGGCCCTCGCATCCACGACACGCGCGCCTGCAACTTGTTCAAGGGCGTTGTGGAATCAACTTTCCGGAAGCAACCAGCCCACCGGAGGAGGTAGACCGACAGCTATGTATATATACGCGCTCTCCCGCAAGTGGCTGTGCACCCAGAGTCCCGGAACGCAGGGCAGCTGACTCCCGCGGGACACTTGCGTTTGAGGAAGGGGTTTGCCCTGCCCCAGGAACCCCAGACCGCTGCCGCCAAGACTAATTAGACATTGCTATGGGAGCCACGGCAACGCGCCACGCATCCCCGAAGCCTATGTAAAACACTCCGGTTTTCACTCTTCTTTCAGAGGAAGCTCTCCGGTTGCTTTTTCCCCTCTCGGGTCCCTTTTTGCCTGTGTGGTTTGGGAGAGGCACAGTTGGAGGCGCTGATTCCTACAGAAGTAAGTGCTCAGGGGGCTTCAGAGAAACTTTGATTTTGCTTTCTTTTTCTTTTTCTTGTTTTCCTTTTCTTTGTAACTTGTGAGATGCTCTCGACATTGGAGTGGCTGGTGGGGGGCCACGGGCTTCCAGAAGAGGGAGCGGGGCAGTGCGAGGAAGAGATGGAGAGCTGGGACTGACCCTCAGGTTCCACTCTTGCAGGTCCCAGAGCGGCAAGATGCTGCGGAGGCTGGTTCGGCAGTGGAGCGTCCTGGTGTTCCTGCTCAGCTACTCCATGCCCTCCTGCGGGCGCTCCGTGGAGGGGCTCAGCCGCAGGCTGTAAGTACTGGGTCCTCCCGGATCGCAGGGTGGGGACGGGCCAGTGCCAGAGGTGGCCAGGCTGGGGCCATGCCCAATGCCCAGGGCTCGGAGCCGTCGCTGATGCTCCCAGCCTGTTTGACACAGTCACCCGCGGTACCTGCTACCAAGGGGTTGAGCTCAGGAGAGTCATCTGTAGAAACTGGCCAGACACCTCAACAGACAGGCAAAAGAGAAGTTTGGTGCGCCTTTCCATAAGAGGGAGCCTTTCCCTGAATCTCTGCCGGCAAGATCTCAGCCTGCAGGGAGAACCACCAAGACTGCTTTACCGGCCCAGGGAGGTTCTGAAACTCAGCAGAAAGCCCAGGGATCCAGGAGCCGTTTGTGTGCTTGTGTGCGCGCGCGTGGAGATGTCTAAATGTGGGTGGCAGTTTGTGTGTGAAAATCAAAAACCCTGTGTCTAGTTTTATTATGAATGACATAATTTTAAGCATATAAAACAGGACTGTGTTACATAACGAAGCATATTATATAATTTAGTAGTAGCAACTTTTCAGTGGCAAACTTCCAACTTTAGTATCGATATCATTCAGGAAGGAGGGCGTGCTTGCCTCCAAAATGGACTTTAGGCGTGGAAACTTTCTTTTTCCTGGAATTATTGCTAACGGTTCTTTAACCCAGAGTAGAAATATTTGCATTGTGGGCTGAAAGCTTACATTTGGGCATTCTCAGTTGATTTTTCCTTTTTTAAGAAGAGCGATTTTGACTTTGAGATAAGCATACATGTAAGTACACCGGCAAAATGTCACTGTGGTGCTTGGAAAGTTGTAGGTGTGCTTGAGTCTGGCTGTCTTCATAGTATATTGGGCATAGCAGTTCATCGACGGATATGTAACAGCGTCTTTGAGCTGCTCTCTGAGCAGCAGACTCAGTTCAGTGTTCAGGATGGGAAAACCATAAAGTTTAAGAACCGAACAGAGTTTGACTCTGGAGAAGGCATTAAGGGGGACTTGCTCACCTCACAATAGAAGCAGCAATATCTACCTAATATTAACAGGCAGGTTCCTGGTGCTTCTTGTAAATTCCCAAGGGTGTACAAAAAGGCAACTGTTCTGTGCCTGCTTTTGGTCTATTCTTATTAGTTCAGCAGAAAAATCTTTAAATGAAATTACTTTAGACATGTCTGGATCTTGGCACCAGAATGAAAATCTATTCTGAATCTCCTAAGGCGAATTGTGTAGAACATTGTACTGGTGATAAAGCAGTATTGTGTCCCAAGAGTGAGTGTTCTGCTGGCTGTTTCTGAAAGTTGTCTTCAGACTTTTCGCTCATTTTTGAGACTTGTGTGAAATTCAATTACCCAGCATCCAAATATAAATACAGATGAACTGGATTTTTTTTTAAAAAAAAAAAAGCACACTTACATACTGTATTTATTTGGCTAAGAATTTCTGTCTTGGAACAATGCCAACTTTTTCTTTAAAGTTGCTTAATACCTATTTTCTCTTTTGAGAAAGTAAATGAGCCATGCTTGAGTCTACAATGACAGCATAAAAATAGCACTAAGCTGTCCTTATAGCTATTTTTAACTCTTTCTTTGTTGCACCTTACAAAGCTACCTATCAGGAACCATTTGGCAGCCGGGGTCTCTGCTCTGTTTATATGTGAAATACAGTATTGCAGTGAAATGCTTACACTTAGCTATGGTTATAAAACTACGAGACACGTACCTAATGGCTAATAGCCTATCATATCACACTGCGGTTTTTCAAGGGAGTTGAAATCATTGGCAAAAGAAATTTTTTATTAGATCATCACAGCCAACTGGAGTTTTTAAAAAAAATAGTCAGTTTTTTTAATGCATGGCTGCCAAGCAACAGTACATTCTTATGATGGACAAAACATTTACCTGCTATTCCCACGATCAGGTTAGTTCCTTGAAAAAAATTTTAACTCACCACCAAACCATATAATATCCAATTTTAGGGACACTATTTAAGATGTATTGATTTTTTTAAAGCTAGAGATTGTTACCTTTTTAGAGATAGGAGTAGTCTATCCTTTAGAGATAAGAGTATAATAAGTGTCCATCTTAAGATGTTTAAAGGTGACCTGTAAGTTGGGGTGAATGGATGCCCTTGTGTGGATGAACACAGTGGCTAGTGGTTCCTCCACATTTGACTTAGCAAGGGAACCCCAGGACATGGAGAAGCCTGAGGCATCAGTTGACTGTCTTGCTTAGGCTAGATTGGGTCTACTCCACATAATGAAGGCATAACTTTCTACTGAGTCATCGGGTTGGAAGGGAGTGTTGTGAGTCACACTAACTCTAACACCCTAACTCTGTGTCCTCTGTGGACCACAGAACTTTCTCAGACTTCTAGTGCATCCCCCATCCTCTCACATCAGCAGACCCAAGCTGCTGCCGGCAGAGAAATTTCCATGACTGCTGTTCCCATTCTTGACAGCTCCTTAGAAACTTCATTTCCCTCCTTGGAAACTCTGTTGAGAGTGGTTTTTCTATCTATCAGAGAAGCTATGTTTTTGACTAAAGTTCAAGTTATCTCTGTTAAATATTTTGCCCATTTTTTGTCTTTTTTTAGTAACAATAATCTATGAAGATGATGAAGCATAATGGACTTATTTTTCTTAGGTCTGTAATAAGATCCATGTGAGCCACTGGGCTATGAAATGTCTACAGATTTCATGAGTAACAGATAATGACTGGTGTCGTATTTGCAGTTAACGTGTTTCAGAGTTATCTACATTGAAAACCCCTTAGTGTATTCCTCACATCCAAGGTGCATGCTGTTTGTTCATGTCCATTAGCTGAGTCATCTTTTACTTTAGAAGTAGATCATTTTATGGACCTTATTTTCCATGGATGATAAAGATATTGCTGTGTTTTTCCACCTCTCTAATGCAATTTCTTAGACAGATATGTGTGGCCACAGTGTGTCAAAGGCAGTTATATTTAAGATGTTAAGTCACTTGTCTAACTTAGCATTTAAGAAAATTTGTGTTTTCTAGACTGCCTCAGAGTGAGTGGTTCGGATAATAGGGTTCTTGCCTCATATGTGTGAACCCATGGGTTCAGTTCGCAGCATCGTGTAAACTAGGCATGGTAATGTACCTTATAATCCCAGCACTGGAGAGGTAGAGGCAGGAGGATCAGGGTCATTCCCAGCTATCTAGCAAAAATACACACCAGAGAAAAAATTTAAATGTGTTTTTCACTGTGCTAACAGTATCTTCTCAAAACAAGACAAAGATCTTGCATCTCATGGGAGAAGCAACAAACACCGTTGATATTCAAGTTTTATAAAACACAAGGGTAGACTAGTGTTGCATTTCCCATGAGAACCATCCTGGGAAAGTACAGCTCTTGAGTTGTGAAGGTGCCATGACTCACAGTAGCCAGGCTGGCCAAGATGACAGACACCCATGCCAGTCACTGAGACAGGGGCAATGGTGACTTGATTCAAACAGACCAACCACTAAAGGTTTGGCTCCAAGTTCAGATAGAATTGAGCTGTATAATAAACTTGAACATAAGAAGGACAACAGCCAGGAATTGGGAAAGAAATAAAAGACCTTAGGAAGATTAACTATCAGCAAAAAAAAAAATTTCTTTTCAGTGTAATATTTTGGTAAAAGATACTAAAGTGGAGTGCCTTGAGAGCCTTGTTAGAGCAATCCTGTCCTTTAAAAATTGTTATTAGAGGATATAAATACATTGTACCCAAACCTCAAATTTGTAGCCTATTAAAAGTTTCCAGATTACTAACTGTTACCAGAGTACAAGAGTTTTAATCTGTTCACATGCGGCACCTTTAGAAAGGAAGGGAGCCGCCTTCATGCCTCATTTAAACCAGGCTCCTGTTAAATTCCTTTCCATGAAGTCATGTCTTTTTTTTTTTTTTAACAAGCTATATGACTTAAAGTCAGTCCCCATACCAAAATACTGCAAGGAAGCTGGCATTCTGACCCCACCCGACCCCCACAATAACCCAAGCTCTGAGAATGCTATCTTCTTATTTTGGTGATAAAATCAACTTTCAGTGGAGTTGGTCTTCAAGGGTTATGATCAGTTTCCGTGTGGTCAGCCTATAGTCATGGGGTCTATTATGCTGGGCCCCACACTCCTTGCTCCCTCTGTGGTAACTTGCTTCTGTCTTGCTTGGGCTCAAGAAAGTGTTGGGGCATTAAAAAGACAGCCTTGACCTTCAAGAATCGGAGCCCTTCTTTGTGAGCTTTCCTCATTTGGACTAGAGAAAGTCATCTCCTCTCCACACTTGACCTTTCCCGTCTTTAAAATGGGCCTAATGAAGCTGCCTGTTATCCCCCTGTTTCTCTGAGGGGTTGGTGGAATTTTATTTGAAAGGCATAAAGGTCCCCAAACAGTCTTGGAGGAGTAAAGGAAGAAGGCTTATGAAGTGAGCCTGTGAAATACACTCAGATACTTCTGAGAGAAGCCATTCCAGACAGCTGGTCAGCTGGCGGAGACTGGGGTTTGGCTTAATTAAAAGCTTTAGATGGTGGTGCACACCTATGATCCCAGCACTTGGAAGGCTAAAGAGGGATTTAAGCCCAGGCTGAGATTCATAGAGAGTTCCAGGGTAGCCTGTCAAAAAAAAAAAAAAAAGAGGAAGAAGGAAGGAAGGAAGGAAGGAAGGAAGGAAGGAAGGAAGGGGAAAGAAAGAA